CAACTGAACTTGGTTAGCAGCTGAGTTCCTGTTAGGCAGAGGAAGGAAAAAAAGTTCAGATGATGACATTAGAAGTCGTTATCTTACTAGTTGGCAAGCTTACTAAGAACAAACATGTTGGTTTGTTTCCTATAGCAGAAAGCACTCAATAAATGTTGATTTATTACTTTAGATTTCACTAGCCTCCATAAAAGCAGCATCCCTTCACACCTTTTGTCTTAGAAAAGAACAGTCTCAGAGAAACAAATTGATTAGACCATAGTCATGCGTTTAATCATTAGCTGATCTGATATTGTGGTTTGAGGATGAATTTTGAGAGATTTCCAACAGTGTGGGATAACGTACAATGATGTAATAGTCTTCTTATTGCTCATGTGATTTATTTTTGAAAATACCAGCTACTCCTATCCCTAAGATTTTTTTGAAAACCTCCCAAATTGTAAATTTGCAAAATAAATGAATTTGTTTAAAGTTCTTTAAAAAATTTTTTTTTCTTGCTATTAGTGGCAAAGTCTACTAGTTGGTGTCCAACTTCTCTTCTCCCTTTCTCCCAAACGAATAGAAAGCTTCCTGATAAATGCTGTTGTCTACCGTCCAGTCAATTCCAAATCAGCAATCCTACAGGACAAATGTCCCCATGGGGTTTCCTAGGCTGGAATCTTTACTGAAGCTGAGTTTCCCTCCATGCAGCAGCTCTGGTGGATTCTAGCCACAGAGCTTTTGGTTATCAGTTGGGTGTTTAAGTGTTGCATCAGTAGGACTCCTAGTAGTACATGGCCACTAAGGAAAAAACAAATTCTCAGCCTTCCTTGGAGCTGGGGGTGGCCACATGATTACAGTATGGCTAGTGGCTATAATCACTAACGCTGTGTGCAATTTCTTGGAAGTGTTTTTAATGCACGAGGCATTCCTTCCTCTTTCTTGCTGACCGGAATGAGGCTGAGCAGATAGAAGCCAACGGAGACAAAGCAGGAAGTGAGCTTGAGAATGGGAGTCTCACAACGTGAAGCAGAAAGCCTGGAGACTGCATTCCTGTCCCCAGAGAGCACATGTCACCCTGCACTCAGGTCTCCAGACTTCTTGTACATGAGAAAGAAGTGAACTTCTTTTTTTTTTTGAGAAGTGAACTTCTACCCTATTGATCATTTTTCAGTTTACCTATGATTTCTCTATCTCTCTCTCTGTTACTTGTAGCAGAATCCCTCTCACAGTCCAAACTCAATGCCATGGAATCCATTCTAATAGCTCTTAGGGACCTTATGGGACAGAGTAGAATTGTCCCTGTGGAGTTCCAAGACTGTGACTCTTTATGGGAGTAGAAAGCTTCATTTTCCTTCCAAGGAACAGCTAGCTGGTGTTTTCAAAGTGCTGACCTGGTGGTTAACAGCCAACTTGTAATCATTATACCACTGGAGCTCCAGCAGAATATCCAATCCTAACTATCCACTGCCAATAAAGCCTGAATCATGGAGTTTGGCGAAGACTATTGAACATACTGTGGTCTACAGAAGAATGAACAAATCTATTTTTGAAGAAATACAGCCAGAATGTTTTTAGAAGCCAGGGTGGGGGAAACTTGTCTCATCTATTTTGGACATATGATCAGGTGAGATTCACTCAAAAGCCAAACTCGCTGCCCTCGAGTCGATGGGTGGACCTGCCCCTGTGGGTTTCCAAGACTTTAACTCTGGGCGTCGAAAGCCTTGACTCCGTCGTGCGGAACAGCTGGAGTTTCAGTTGCTGACGACACGGAACCACTACAATATCTGGGCACCTTCAGGGGAGACTGGTGCCTGGAAAAGTGCACTATGCGTGGTGGCAAAGTAGAAGGTCAGCCCTCGATGAGATGGATTGGCCCAAGGCCGCAACAGTGGGCTCGACATAGCAATGGTTGTGTACGAGAGCTTGAATCTGACACTCTGGTTTGGAAGGGGACAGTGACAGACCCAAATCCATTTGCTTCTTCACAGGGATGAAACCTCCTTTAATGCTTTCTGATCTTTCACCAAGGATGTAGATATTCTTACCTTCAGGACAGCTTATGGTCATCTGATTTTTATGACATTTACCCAACTTCTCTTTCCCCAAGTCACCTCCTCGGGAACCTACCCGGACCTGTGATGGACGGGGTTCCTGGTTGGCAATAGAAACCATGTACGGTCTTTAATAAAATTCTTTCTTTACATTTCAAAACGAACTGTTTTAGGAGTTTTAATGACATGGTTTATGGGTGAAACTGGGAGGAAAAATATAAGCTGTAGTATTCCTTACCTATTTTTTAAAAAACAATTTTTTGGCAATAATACATCAATGCTTTAATGATTTTGGTAGCTAAGTTCACTTGGGTCCACAATCAAGTGTTGTTTTTTTTTTAGTTTTCTGAGTCAAGTATTCTAAAAATTATGTGGTTAATAATGGCTAATATTTACTGGGTACTCTTATTTAACTCTTATTCAAATAGCTCTCTGACAGAGACAGAGACAGCAATAGCAGGAACCAAATTGATACCATGTCCTCATGAGTGTCATTGTAGAACTGTGCCCATGGGGCTTTCTAGTGGTTGATTTTTTGCAAGTGGCTCACCAGGCCTTTCTTTCATGGCACCTCTGGGCAGACTTGCAGCTCAGACTTTCTGGTTAGCAGCTGAATGTGCTACCTGAGACCACTCTCAGCCAACGCCAAACCGGTTTCAATGAAGGAAGAACTTCATTGCTGTGTCAGCACATGGCCCAGTGGATTCCTATTCAAAGACTGAGCCCCAACCTTTTTTCGGTGGACCCTGGGGGCAGGCATTTCAGGAGGGGTGGAGCTAGACACACAGGGTTAGGATTGCCTGGTTCAGACGGGGCAGGAATGGGCACTGGTAGGTAAACGGGGAAGTTTATAGCAACGGAAGCCGTTAAGTATTAACACGGTGGATTTGGCATTAACCTTATGGCTTTGTTCTCTCCTAGACAGGAGGAAGCAGCAGGGTGTTAGCATGAGATTGAGGTGGTCTGTGGGCTCTCACCCCTGTGCTCTTACTGCCATCGGCACCATTCAGCGTTTACTGTTAGCCTCATTTCCCCCTAAGAGTATCTGGTTATTTATTTTGGTATAGCATCTTTTAAAAAAAATCATTTTATTGGGAGCTCTTACAGATATTATAACAATCCATAATTCAATTAGATCAAGCATAATTGTTCAATTGCTGCCACCATCCATTTGAAAACAATTTCATTCTTCTTGAACTCTTTGTATCAGCTCCCCCTTATCCCCTCCCTTCCCTACTCTGCCCCCCAGGAACCCTTATTATATTATATATTATTATTATTATTATTTTGCCATATCTTACACCATCCAATGTATCCATTCGCCTACAATTCTGTTTATTATTTATTCCCCTCGAGTCAATATTGCTATTGGTTCCCCTTTCAGCCTCATTTTTTTACACTCGACTCACAATTCAGTTTAAAACAAACAAAAAACACAAGTAATGTATCCCAAAGAAGCCCTGGTAGTGCAGTGGTTAGGCACTCGGCTGGAACCCACTGGCTGCCCCACGGATGACAGATGTGGCAGTGCGCCTCCACAGATTCACAGCCTTGGAAAGCCCTTGGCAGCCTCTAATCTATCCTATAGGGTCCTCATGGTTTGGAATCCACTCCACAGCAGTGGGACATACCTAAAAGGAGCCCTGGGAGTGCACTGTTAGGTGCTTCACTGCTCCAAACACCAGAAGCTGGCAGGAGGTGGGGGCTGGGGGAGTTGGGATGGGCTCCCATAAAGATTAAGTTTAGGAAAACTGACAGAGCACTGTTCTGTCCCATAGTCATCGTGCATTAGAATCTGCTGGCCCACACACAACGTACCCAGTTGACAAATACGAATTTTATGCAAGGAAAGGAGTTGAAATTTTAATGAGTATTCAGGCAGGAGAAAACAGTTGGGGGAGTCAAGAAGTTGGGTTAGTGTTAGGTAGCTAGCTTAGGGACATGGGAGTTGTCCCTCCATGCTGGCAAGGGCCCCCATGGGGGTTAGAAAGAAACCAGACAACCATTGGACACCGATGGGAAGACCCCAAACTGAGCAAGCACAGACACAAGCCTTCTAGGCCCAGGTAAAACCAATACCTTGGACACACTCAATTTAGGAACCAACAAATGATATCACACAGGTGGTGCTAACTCAGCCAATGGGTCAACCAGTACCACCAACCACGCCTCCCGAGCCAGAGGTTTGAAATAGCCCGGCTGT